AGAGAATTCTTGACTTGACAGAATAGAGAAACAAACATGGAAAAAAAGTTCCATTTCCCCAAACTATGATAATGAATGATTCTTTAATTTATTCATTTCTATTTCAGTCGAAAAGTAAACTCACATTATTATTAGTGTCACCAAAACTGAGTTGTTGTTGGTTGGCATACAATGACGATCGCATCGCATCGTAGGGTTTTCTTTTATTTATTAATTTTGATAGCAATATTAGTCCCATTGCGATCCATACATGCGCAAGGTGCAGGTGGTGGAGGTGGAGGCGGAGGAGGAGGTGGTGGAGGTGGAGGTGGCGGAGGTGGTGGCGGTGCAGGTGGCGGAGTTGGAGGTGGAGGCGGTGGCTCAGGTAAGTAAAAGACCAATGAAAAGACAAATGACTTTCTAGTTTCGAAGTTACAAGTATCTCGTCAAAAGTATTTGTCTATATCACGAACAGTACCTCAGGCAATCTGGTTAACAGATGTCATGATGAACGAGCATAGATAGTTAAATTCAGTAGCGGTTGTATTCAAGATTATTCAAGAATGAAAAAATATTATAATTCAAAATACACTGACAGTTATTATCTATGGCGTAGATACTCCGATCATGAATTCAATGGTTCCAGTATAATTTATATCTATATAGTTCATCATATTTAGGAAGTTAGCTTAATCACTTTATTTGCCGATAAACCCAGATATGTGTCCAGGAAATATGTGATGTTTAATATTTTTCACAATAAAACTTACTTTTGTGGAAGAGGAGTTAGCTATGAGGTTTCAAATTATATCCATCGAGTTTCAAGATAGATGTATCTCGCATATGCATATAGCAGAGACGCAAAGGATGGGTTCTAAGTAATATGGTTTGTCGTTAAAGTGTTTGGTGTGTTTGTTGTGATTGAGTATTTCTTAGTAAAATTTAAAGAACATCAAAGAACCAAACTTGCTTTTAGTACCGTATTTCTTACACAGATTTTGGACTCTACTTGGTTTACAGCAGATTGTACGAATAGTTTGATAAAGATCGCGAGAAGTTCAATGAGCTCAAATGACATCATAAAACAGGAGGCTGAGTAGAATTTATAACGTAGCTTATCTACATTAATATGATCGCTGAAGTATACCAGTATGTAAGATTACTTTTTCATTGAAGATTATTTTCATCTTCTTAATCCAAGATCTGTTTCCATCAAACATCTAGTGAGTAGTACCTGATCAGCTTGATTAGTTCGGTTCGGAACAGCTCGAAATATTTGAATTTTAATATTTCTGCCTGTTATCAGCTCGACAATATTTGTGTTCATTGTTCAACACGATTTAGAAATCATTTCTCTTCGTTCTATAAATTACAATTTAATGATTGAGCGAAATCGGTTTGAGTGAAGAATGAATATCTAAATATCAATTCATGTTCACTAATTATTTTTTTATATAACTTCATAACACTATTACGATTATGCTTGGACACGTTCAATTCTCGATGTTTTTTTTATTTTAGGAAGTAGTTGTACTACTGAAAAATGTCAACGTAACTCACTGATTGTACTTCTTGTGATATTTGGTACTTGTGGACTATTTTGCCTATGCCCTTTCATCTGTAGTTCTTCATGTTGTCAAGATCTTAAGGATTTTTGCCATTCGATCTCCACTTGCAAATGCTGTCGAACAATACCACACCGATCGAGCCCAGCTAGTCTTGCGCTGACTGCACTACCACGTACAATGCAATCTTCAAATACAAATACGAAATCACCTTCCCCACCACATCCTACACAGCCTCTCATATTACACATGGAACATCCTCCTATTTCTCAGACTGAACTGTCTTCAATTGTGCAGGATGCATCACAGACAACAAAAATCTTTCAAACAGGTCCTTATAATATGCGTTATTATCAATATTATAAATGGCATGGACCTTTTCTTGTTCAACTTGAATTCAACGATGGAAATATACGAGGTAAAGGTGACGATGATGTTGGTTTATTTGATGTTACGGGAAGCTATTCAACAAGTGACAATCATGTAATAATAACAAAACAATATAAACGCGGAACTGGTGATCCACATGAAAATCTTGGACATCAAGTTAAAATTGATTTAAAATGGAACGATCAAACACAACAATTTGATGGTCAATGGACTGTCAGAACATCAAACTATTCTGGTCAAGATAAATTCGAATTGAAATTAAGACAACAAGCAAAGTCAGTGTAACCTGATATCTGGAACATTTTTACGAAAACGAATCGACTAATTTTGACAAAAAATTCAATATTGATTTTCTATTAAATTTTATATAAAGTGATGCTACGAATAAAAATCTAATCCAGAGAACAGAAAATAAGTTCACTTGCCAAAGATCTTTTGAATTAATTTAGAAGCTTGGTCAAGTTTATTAGCTATGAGAAAACAAAAAAGTAGTTCTATTGTATTTTTTGTGGAGCGAGAAGGGAATGGTATTCAAATTCAGTGGAATTTAAAAATTGACCTAGAGAAGGGTGTGGATGTGAGTGTTTTCTTCTTCACACTCACCCACATCTGCACCCTAATCATTACAAAAAAACTAACATAGATAGTGAGTCAGTATTTTTGTAGGATATCGGTAGTCTCAAACAATATATTGCTTGTTAAAACTCATTAAAAAATACATGTGTAGATTTTTGGAATATGATAATTCAATATAGCATAACAAAAATTATTATGTTAAATTAGTTTGAACAAGACAATCTGCAAAATTCGTCCGCAACAGTAATATTCACTTACAGTGACTAACAAAATTATTCAACAAGGTTTATTTTCAAGTTGTTTACACTAAAGAATCCACATAGAGAAATGCATATTTCATAAATGTTATAAAAGTAATTGAACAAATATCAAAACGTACTTAATATCATTTTTTTTTCTCTGATACGCTTAAAAATGAAATGATGTAACAGCAAAAAAGATGTCCACCTTGACTAGAACTCTATCGCAATAGTAGTTCTCAAAAATAGCCAGCATCAGGGTGTGGGTGTGGGTGTTGATATCTGTCATCCACACCCCACACCCCACACCCTTATATGATGTTCATCTTCGACAATCAGTTGTGAGCTGTGAAATGTTCCGCTTTTAATGAGCAAAATAAGGCCTAATGATTCGGTTGATGTCTGCTATCACAGCTGATATGAAGTTGTAATGTGAGAATCTACAGTCCTTTCTTTGTTCCTTATACTTATGCCATGGGTATGAAGAAACTGATGGGTGTTTCTACTGTTTTCTAGTCATAAAATTTAAACATTAGATATTTGAGAGTTAGATGGAATCGTAAGAAGAATTAGACTCCAGGAAATCTTCCCTCTTGCATTCTTGTTTGATTCTTATAGAATATTATCGTTGCATGAATTTTTCTTGTGTGTTACCATCAGATGTGACAGTACAAGAATATATGTGACGAGTCTTAGAGACAGATTTAATATAACTATTTGGAGCATCCGTGTTTGTGTAGTATTTCATGCGATCATACTGGATCTTGCTTCTTTTTTCGACTTAAGTTATATTCCGAAAAATATTTACAACACCTATTGTGACTTCAAACGTTAGCTTTGAACATTTCAACATTCAATGAGTTTCGTTTCATTTCGTGATGTGCAGTAGCTTATATTTTATGAGATCGAAACAGTTGAACTCATACATGGTACTACACATAGATTTCTATTATCCGAAAATGTCTTTAAACGTACTATTATTTACGTTTTAACACTGTAGAGAGACAGCTGATTGTGGCTGTTAATCATGAGTCTTACCTATGAGTTGAAATCGATTAGGAATAGTAAATGAGAACTGGTTTCAAAAAGCGGAGCGTTTCAAAGTTAAAGACTCTACTCATAAATTAAAAAAGGCTAATACTAACATCCAGTTTTTGGGCTATGACCGATTGTCAATCCCCGTTCCCGATTGTGATTCATTAATGTTTAGAAGATATGAATATGAAAATGATTATTTGCTAGCTCAGTGAACATACTTAAATGTTTTGTCAGCGCGAAAAAGTGATCATTTTGACCTTCACTTATAATGGTCGTTAGTGACACACAATCGAGAACTTTGATTGGGAGCCAGACACGGTCGAAAAGCTCTGCGTGTTTAAACGCGTTTTTCCATTTTTTGTTTGTCTGGGCATAGGTGTTAATAATTCGCTTATAAATGTTGAATTCAATTGAAATGAATGGCAGTTATCACTCGATTTTATTCGATTGTAACAACATTCAGCAAATCGATCAAACACACTAGCAAATGTTCATAGATTATTGTATTATATGACTTCATATAATTATCATATTTATCAGTAAAGTATACTTATAAGTACACATCGTTTATGGCAAAATACAGAGTAAAACTGACGTCATACAATTCGTCCCGAAGTCTTTTAGCTCAAGAATTCAATGTCAAAAATAACTTTCTATTGATTATAGTTTTTATGTTTTAGAGAATAATAGTAACTTTATGAAGCTATGTTTCGTTGTGTCTCGTACCGTTTTCATCATCCAACAAGTGAAAACATTCAATTATGAATAGACATTATATTATTTGTATGATCTTCATTCACTGTAAATAAATTTTCATACTTTTAAGAACAATAAAAATCATTTGGAAATATGAAAAAAAAAGAACTATGAAGAAATTTGAACAAGATACAACATGTAGCTAGTTTGCCAATTTACCTTTTTTCTTTTTTACACACATGTGTCAAGCTAAAACTTTTATGAAGAAACGACAAAATATTTTTGTTCTTTATTCTTCTAGTACACTATCGTGCAACGATAATGCTTTTCTCTTTCTTCCTCTCATGTGACAAACAAAAATTTTCTCACAGTATTCGTAAAAAAACCTTTCAATCACATTAATACCTACACAAATGTCTATTCTATGTTTTTACTTCTTATTGATGCGATAGCAACGTGAGTTAAAAATAAAAGAGAGGTTGTTGGTTTCTATTCTTTTAAGTTATTCAAGTTAAAAATGATTTCACGTATGTTTGATGTTATCAAAGAACCTCAAACGGTTCTATCATCTATTGATGGTTACCAAAACTGTCTTCTGTTATCGTTAGATCTTGCTGTTAAACAGCTTAGTCCATTCTTTGAAGCTGGCACTCTTGAACGTAATGTTTGGATTGTGAAAGAAGGATGTAAGAATCCATCGAATAATTTAACTGTTGATGAATCTTCATCAATCATATTGTATACATTCAGTTGAGACCGCAATGAGAACAGTCTTTATTATTTATTAAATGAAACATTACAAACGGGAAAAAGAGATAAACTTAAGCCTTGGTATAGTTATTTAAAACTTTTTCTTACTGCTCTACATCGTCTTCCACCGACTAAAGAAACTATTTTTCGTGGTGATAAACTAGATATATCACGACAATATATCGTGAGTGAACGGTACTTTTGGTGGAGTTTATCATCATGTACAGATTCAATGGATTTATTGCAATCAAAACAGTTTTGTGGACAAGAAGAACAAAGAACAATATATTTTATTAAATGTAATAGTGGACGTTGTATAAAACGACATTCATTTTACAGTAGTGAACAAGAAATTCTATTAATGCCTAGTTTTTACTTTGAAGTTCAAAGTAATAATGATCTTGGAAATGGTCTTCATTTAATTGAAAAAGAGTCACCAAAAATTATGCTTCCAGTGCCTATGAATCCTGGCATATTTATAGAAGCTATTTGTCGTAATAATGCATGTTCTCTCTGTAATCGACAGATACGAATTTCATTTGGATTTTGCTGTCTAGATGTACTTGTTGATCTTGATGAAAATAATTGTAAGTGTCCATTGTGTTCTGAATATACAGAGCCTGAGAAATGTGGAGTAATAAATTGTTTGTGGCGTTGGTCAGTTAGAAAAAAAGAAAAACAATCACAGCCCCCTATTACTTGTTCAGAAGATTGGATGTATGTAGATGGTCCAATTTACTTTCAACTGAAAACTGAGGAAAATTTGACAACGATATGGCTAAAATTAATTATTGAAGCGAAAGATAAATCCTAGTAATTAGTTGAAGAGCATATATTAACAAGTATAAAGCTCTTTAATTTTATTTAGATCAAATAAAAACATAATTTCGTTGCAATAAAAGGACTTTTTGAAGTTGTTTTTTTTTGTACTATTTTCATACGGAGAAAAAAAGAGACTCGAAATATTAATTGATCTGATGTAAGTCTATTTGGACATTTTTGTATAGTTTAAAAATATTATTTAGAGAACCACAAGCTGGCACTTATTACAGAATCCTGATTATCGTTATAATCATCCCATTTTAAAATATCAAATATTTCTAAGCATACAGTTGCTTCGCTTCTATTTCTGTTCTTCCATTATATTTTCATTGTAAACTTGTTTGAAACAAATTTCTATTATATTCATCAATTTTATCTTACTCGTCAATTAATACAAAGAAATCTCTTATCTCTTATTTGATTTTGTTAAAAAAATCTGTCATTAACATCATGTAACAAATTTATTGCTCATGCTTGTTTTGATTAGAAATCTGACTGGTAAGTGTAAGACTATGTGAATATGAATGTAATCTTAAACTTGTGAATTTAAATATATTATAAACTGTCATTAGATCAAAATCAATAAATGTATATTCATTATAAACATACTCTCTCACACAAATAACTACATTTAGCAACAAGATTCTAATAGTTTTCATTAATCATGTTTGCATATTATTATTATTATTAATAGATTATAGTCTTTTCTTTCTTCAAAAATAACAAACTCTTGTTCATCATTATATTCCATGACGTTATTTGAGCTTTAAAAAAGTTGAATCACACAATGAAGTTTGATTATTTTAGATTTAATCGATATGAATTCATTCATAATGCGAACCAATGAGCGGAATATATAACAAATCAAATTGATGAGCATACACTAACAGGGCTCGAAACGGGCCACTTTTTTATGGTTTGGGCCGGCCAAATGCGGCCCAAACCTAATTCAAGCCCGCCCGGCCCGGCCCATCAAATTACTAGGCCCACCCGGCCCGGCCCATCAAATTATTAGGCCCGCTCGGCCCGGCCCAGACCCGGCCCGACGCTAAAGAAAATGTTATTTAAATAAATGCCTTTTTTTTGTAAAAACCGATCTGTAAAGCCAGTCTTATAGTTTGAAAAGGTTCTAATGAATATACCATCAATTTGATGATAAATTTATTAGGATCTGCTGATTCCAATAATAACGAGAAAAATATTGACAAATATAATGAACGAACAATATCTATAAATAAATTGAAGAAGTACCAACTAGTAGAACGAACAAAAATAGATGTCCAACACACGAAAAAAATGAACATTGCATTGCAAAAAACATGTGGATTTTTCATTAATGCTTTCTACACCGAGCTCACAAAAAGTACATCTTCAACTATTTCACAATTTGATAATGATCTTCTTTCAATTATTAAAACTCTTACAGCGCTGAACTGGCGCTTTACACCATAGAACGTAGCAGGTATTGAATACAACCTTTTGAACGGTTTGGCCAAACGTGGTAAATGAACTTCATGAAGTTACTAAAAGGGAAGAGGATTAGGTGTTTTAAATTTTTGGTCTATTGTCATTCTTAGATATTCATCTAATAGATAAATATCTAGGAATGACAATAGATAAGTAAAAAATTATTGTGAAAAAAGTCGAGTATAATAAACAATTTCTCTGATGAGAAGATGATACAGTATCGAAAAAACCACACAAATAACAAATTATGTCTACCAACAGATTATAGGTCCATTTTATTGTCTAATTAAAATTCGAGATAAGCGTCTACGATAATAATTATTTAATAAATTCCAGATTTACTGACATCTAATATTTTCATAAAAGAAAAATCTACTCCGGGCCGGGCGGCCCAAGAAAAATGTTGGCCCGCCCGGCCCAGTAGTTTTTCGTCGAAGGCCCGCCCGGCCCGGCCCGAAGAGATAGTTGGGCCGGGCTGGGGGGGCCGGGTCGGGTCGGGCCAGGCCGGGCCATCGGGCCGGGCGGCCCGTTTCGAGCCCTGTACACTAATGTCTATGTCAGAGATAAATTGCCATGGGTATTTTTCGAATAACTTTTGATAAGAATGAAATAGAGACCTACGGTTTTCATCATTGGAAAGAGTAGGTGAAAATTCATCGAACCCTATATAGAAAGATTTTTCTAATAACTTCTCTGAAGGTTTTAGTCAAATGTTTTCATAGAATTGTGTTTTTCTATCGAAATATCAGAAAAAATCATCATTTTTCATCCATTTTGTTGAAAAACTGGGTGTCGAAATTGCACTTCAATGGCTAGAATATCGTAATTATTGATAGTAGCTAGGAATAGAGTCTTTTCATCATCGTTTTTTGTAGCTCTTCATTTGACGATTGTAGTACACTCCTGAAAGGCATACTAGTTTTCTTCAAATTTTACGTAAAGCCTTCAGGAATGTCATTAGAAAAATCTTTCTATATATGGTTCGATGCATTTTCATCTGTTCTTTTCAACAGTGAAAACCGCAGATCTCTGTCTCGTTGCTAGTAAAAGTTATTCGAAAAATATCCACGACTATTTATCTCTTAAATGGACATGAATAATTTACATAGAATACTTATCTTTCAATCTCATTTACGATCTTATACGTATTTCTTTTCGTTACTACAATAATAGAAAAGGTACAATGGTATTATTGAATGTTATAGTAACTAAAAATTTTCTTACATTGCGCTATTGGATACAAAAAAATAAAATACATTCAAAAAAATTCATATATTAGAATATCATCACTTGAACATACTCTTTAGATTGAATATTGTTAGAATTAACATGTTTTCGCAATTGATATCATTATTTGAAGAAAAAAAAGGCAATATTCTTAAAAGAACAGTATCAGTCGAGTTTTTCAAAATATTCTGATTGATAATTATTCAATTAAGATAACTGTCCGCAATGCAATAGAGATATCGTTTGCTTTCGATTCTATTGTTTATGTCAACTGGAAATCAATTTTAAGATTGATTCCTAGTAAAAAAAATTCAACGGCAATCGTTACTAATATTTCTGTCACTTTTTCAAAGTATCTTACACTTTTGTATATTATCAATATTAATCCAAAGAAAAATGAATCGATTTTGAAACATAGGAGGAAAAGTTAAGTTTAAAGAATTCTTATCAATATTTCGTTTGGTTTTATCCATCTCTCTCTCTCTCTCTTTCGTTTTCTCTTTATCGATGTATCTTTTCAGATGTTTTTCTAAAACAAAAATAGAAATTTCACGAAAGAAGCAAAGATTTTAACATCGTACAACTTTTTGGATGAGAAAAAGGAAT